CAGGCTCAGCGGCCATGGCTCACGGGCCCAGCCGCTCCGCGGCATGGGGGATCTTCCCGGACCGGGGCACGAAACCGCGTCCCCTGCATCAGCAGGCGGACTCTCAACCACTGCGCCACCAGGGAAGCCCAATAATAATCTTTTTAATATTAAAAGAAAGGGATCAACAGATTTTGGATTGGCCAATGGATTTTTTTTAATTAATTTATTTTTTGAACTTATTTTATGTATTTACTTTTTTGGCTGCACTGGGTCTTCATTGCCGTGCACAGGCTTTCTCTAGTTGTGGCTAGCAGGGGCTACTCTTGGTTGCCGTGTGCGGGCTTCTCATTGCGGTAGCTTCTCTTGTTGCAGAGCATGGGCTTTAGGCGCGTGGGCTTCAGTAGTTGTGGCTCACGGGCTCTAGAATGCAGGCTCAGTAGTTGTGGCACATGGGCTTAGTTGCTCCACAGCATGTGGGATCTTCCCAGACCAGGGCTCAAACCCGTGTCCCCTGCATTGGCAGCCCTGGCCAATGGATTTTTAACTTAACCACCATACCATTAACACACCTAAAAAATTAACAATAATTCCTTAAAACCATCAAATATCCCATCAGAGTTGAAGTTTGTTTGAATCCCCACCTTGCAACTGGGTAATATGTCTCTTAAAATCTCTTTTAGTCTATGGTTGCCCCTCCATCTCCTTTTTCCTTGCAATTCATTTTTTTTTTTTTAGGAACTCGACCCTTCGTCATGTCATTTCCCACAGTCTATGTCATTTAACATTTTTCTCTGTCCTCTCTGTTTCCTAAGAATATGTTGTTGGATCCAGTCCACTTGTATCCAGTTCGATATTTTTGCTGTTGTTTTTTGGCCAAACTTTATCTTTGTGTTCTTCCATCAGGAGTCCCATAACGGGGCGTGGGGGGGGTGGGTATCTTTCTATCTTTTTATGACATTGGCAGCCATTGATGATTAATGTCTAGATTCATTAATTCATTAAGGGTTCAAAAGTGGTGATATTCTAACTCTGTTGTTCCTTCTTCATTTATCAGCTGAAAGAAAAGTTTTCCTATAAAGAAAAACTCTCCCTCAGCTGCTCTTTGGCACAGTTCACATCAGAAAGGCAGGGTGAATATTTGATTCCTTTCATTTATTCACAAATTTTCAAAATAATATATTGGTTTCCTAACACCTTGCAATGGTGATCAATATTTTTTCAGTGTCATTACAAACTCAAGAATTTGAAAACATATTTGATGTATTTCACATCCTTAGCACTCACATTGTCTCAACATCAGATGGGGGAGCCTCTTAAAAGTTGACTCTCGAGTCTTTTTTTTTTTTATAAATTTATTTATTTGTTGTTTTTTTTTTTAATTTTTGGCTGTGTTGGGTCGTCATTGATGTGGGCAGGCTTTCTCTAGTTGCGGTGAGCGGGGGCTACCCTTCATTGCGGTGCGTGGGCTTTTCATTGCGGTGGCTTCTCTTGCTGTGGAGCACGGGCTCTAGGCACGCAGGCTTCAGTAGTTGTCGCACGTGGGCTCAGTAGTTGTGGCTCACGGGCTCAAGAGCGCAGGCTCAGTAGTTGTAGTGCACGGGCTTAGTTGCTCCACGGCATGTGGGATCTTCCCGGGCCAGGGCTCGAACCTGTGTCCCTTGCATTGGCAAGCAGATTCTTAACCACTGCGCCACCAGGGAAGCCCCAACTCCCAAGTCTTTTTGACAAAACCCTTGAATTAAGGTCAACTGGAGTGTCATTGCCGCAGGATCCCTGGCTGTTTAGGAAAGGAGAGTACTGAAATGTTCAATCCTGGACTGATGAAAACAAGGCTTACTCAGCCTCCCTGTGACTAAAAGCGACACGCAGCAGCCTGTTATTCATCACCAACAAATGCACTCAACCCACAGCCAATGGCTTACTTGTTTCTATGTTTATAACGCTCACTTGTCATTTGTATGTTTTCTGTTTGTTCATCTGTGCATGGTCTATCGTCTGATAAATGCCAAAATCAGAAGGCGCGACTGTAGCCCCGCTACAAACAGTTTGATACATGGTTGTTGTATTATTGTGTTGTTGTTTAGAGTCAGGAGAAGGTACTTCCAGACTGTCGTTCTATAGGAAGGTGAAGTCCAAAATGTTTTCTCCAAATAAAGCTGAAAGTGGTTATGACCTGCTGAATTTTAGCTTTCTTATACCCCATATGATATCAAAGTAGGCTTCTACTTTCTCAGATCCCAAGGAGAGTTTGCAGCGTGTCGAGCAAAACTATTTATTTTCTTTAATCTTCTTAACCCTCACAACAATGCAGAAGGAGGTATTATTATCCCCATTTTATATACGAGGAAGCTGAGGATCTGAAATGCTGGCTTGCCCCAGACCTCGCCATAAGTGAAGCATGAAGCTGGAATGCAAACCCAGACCCGGCTGCAAGGCGCCGACTTCTTCCAATAACTGAATACTAATCCTGCATATTGGATTTGCAAAGCAGAAGTTACCTTCAGAGAAGTTAGCTCTGCAGCCAGAGTGGTCTTTCCAAATGCAAATATGATTAAGGCATCCTCAGTCTCCTCCCCCTGCCTTTCAGAGACTTCCCATTGCTGGTAGGAAGATAGAGACCCTAGGAGACCCAGAGGCCCGGTGGTCCAACCCCAGTTCCTGTGCCCGATGCACAGTGAAGCCGAACAAACTGAAACATTGAAGTCTGGAGCAGAGAGAAGTTTATTGCAAGGGCCACGCAAGGGGAATGGTTGGGTCATGCCCAAAAGACCTGAACTCTTAATGGTTTACAGGGGAAAGTTTTCATAGGCAAAATTTGGTGGGAGGTCTGCAGGGTGCATGATCTTCCTCTGATTGGTTGGTGGAGCGGTAACGCAGCGGTGTTCCAGAGCTCTCAGTCATCGGCCTCTGGTTCCTACCAGCCTGGGGTCCATGTGCTGTGTTCAGCCTGAAGTTACCATCCTCCACGTGGGTGGTGGCCTTAGTTCCTCTAGAAGAACTCAGAGATTCCTATCAGATTGTTGTGTATTTCCCTTAAGGAGGAACTAGGACTCTGCCCCATCACTGCAGTATTGTTTCTTGACTGCCTTTCCCTTGTTTCTGCATTCCCTCAGGCCTCTAATTAGTAACAGCATGAATTTGCCCTTTGGAACTCAGGAAAGGTCTAGGAGGCTGAAACCTTTTTCCTACAAACAAGGAATAGGGGACAAGCCAAGGCTTTTGTGCCCCATAGGGCCCCAC